CCACATCGGCAATTCCTGCCGCGCTAGCTTCTGCTTGCTGCATCCGTCCCTGCGCACCGTCCGCAATGGCATTTCTCTCCTGATAAACCTTTTTGCGCCGTTGCCTTCCTTTCTGCTGCGGATTCTGCCGGCGCGCGATCGGCTTCTCCAGCGGCCCTCTCACCCACTTGTGCCTCGAGGAAAAGTTGCTGCATGCGTGCGCCCGTGGCTCCCAATTATTGTCGACCCTGTCTTCGATTATCTCCCCATTCTTGGTTGGATGGCAACGCGACGGCAGCTGCGTTTCCCCAACTCAACGCATTCCCCGCAAAGCCATGCAAGGCTACACTTGGGACACACATTCGAACAATGTGAGCGCGTTGGCTATAGACACGGCCCCCCCGGTTCAAGCGCTTTCCCGGGCACCAGCACTCCGCCCGAGGCGGGCACCTGAGCCCGGCATCCCAACACGTCTCCCTTATCGAAAAACTATTGGTGGTCCTAATTGACGATAGCCGGGGTGGCTCAAATGCATTGAGTCCGCTTGAACTGGAGCGCCCGGCCCTGGGGGCCTTCCTGTGCCTCCTGCTGGAGGCGCGGGCGCGTTGCCCCCTTGTTCTTGCACCCTCATTGATGAAATCAACGTCCTGATTCTGGGCTAATCATCTCTTACGTCCTGCATCGCCAATTCATCAAGTTCTGGCGCCGCCCCTGCTAGACCTCGCCAATGAAGTCTGGTCGATAAAAGCCTTCCGGCAAAGAGGAAGCATCTAGGTCGTCATCCTCATTCTTCGGCTGCTTTACCTGTGGAAGCGGAGTTGTACCTGTAGGCTCTCTTGCATGTCTGATTGCACGTAAGACGTCGGGCGAGTTCGAAATCGGCTGGGCCGACGAACTCCTGCCTCGGTCTAGGCTTCTTCCATCCCCAAAATCATCATCCGAATCAAGAACAGCCTTTTCGAGCGCACCGACCGTTGCATAGACATCTGCCTCGTTCTCCGACAGGTGTGCGCCTGGGGCGATCCCGTCAGACCCATCAGAAACGGGATTAGCATGATGCGATGTGCCAGGCGAGGTACGAAATTGGGCGTATACTTCATTCCTCTCACTCGAGTGCGAACTGCTCCTTTTCGATTATAAATCGCCCACTTCCTCACCCTGACCATGAATATCCAATTGCGTTGTTTGTTCAGTGCCGCAGTTACCTTCATCGAACTTTTCTCTGGGCATGCGTTCCAACAACTTAACCACCTCATGGTCTAAGTCAATCGACGGCCGGGGCCTCGGGTGCACTGGCACCAAATCAGACGGTCCCCCGACGGAAGTTTTGGCTGCGCCGTACCTCCCGCCCTGGTTTTGCCCCCTTACTAGTGTCATCGAATCAACTGGAGAATCCCTTTTCTGTTAAACCGAGCACAGTCTTCGATTCTTGCCCTCTCGGGAGGCGAAGGGAATGAGGTCGCCTCGTAGAGGCGTCAACTTCACCAATACGCTCAGAACGGCATCGATCTCCTTTTCCTCCGAACGCTCCTCCCTGTGCCCCCATGCTCTGCGAAGCTAGCGGCTGTGCCGTCGCTTCGGCCGATAACCAATATATTGCCTGAGTATTCATCATTCATGCAATATGTTTTGTTGATATGTCATGGTCGGTGGGCTTCGCCGATGACATGGGAAGAAAGGATAATACCGTTAAGCTAGCAAGAGGGTAACCTTGAAGAGAGGAGGCCGGCCCGCCGGCCGACGCACGCGCGCTCGCCGCAGGCACGCTCCTTTTCTGTTTCCCTAGAGCCAAACAGCTGCAGGTAACATCATCCAAGTCGCAAGGTGAAACAGACAGCGCAGGCAAGGCTAGCGAGCAGGACGGGCAGCAGAGTGGTGGTGCGGAAGGAGTGCATTGACTGTTCCCTCCCCTCCCGTTGTTCCTTCCTCCTCCTCCCCCTCCTCATCCAGTTCCTTTTCCTCCTCGTCCTCGTCCTCCTCCTCCTCCTGTTCCTCCCCCTTGTTCCTCCCTGTTTCATCCCACATCGCCCTCCTTTTCCTCATCGTCCTCCTCCTCCTCCTCGTTTTTCTCTCTCCTCCCCCCTTTTTCCCCCCGTCGTCCTCGTCGGCGCCGGCGTCGCCTTCGGCGTTGGCGTCGGCGTGGTCGTCGTCGTCGTCGTCCTCCCCCTCTTCGTCCTCCTCCTCCTCCTCCTCTTCCTCCTCCTCCTCCTCCTCCTCCTGCTCCTCCTGCTCCTTTTCCTCCTCCTGATCCCACTCATCATCCTCATTCGGTCATCGCTGTGTTCGCCCCACGATCCTCATTGTGAAGTGTTTCGCCCAAGACAAAACTGTGAAGACGAACTGGGAAGGGAGAGGGAGCGAGGGAAACGGAGCCAGGCCGAGACGACATGTTTGATTACACTTCCGCTATCGATTCGCACTCTCGGAAGGGTCTTGGCGCCTCTGGGCCCCAAGGGGGGCATGGCCTCATCGTCTTCGTCGCCATCGTCGTCGTCCCTCCCCCCCTTTTCCCTCGCATTTCTCGTCTAGTTGTCCTTTTTCCTCCTCGCTGCGGCATCAAAAGATTCACTGCGCAACAACGTGCGCACACACACCACGGATGCCGCCGCAACACCTGCGTACACCACATCGTCGGGGCGCACCACAGGGCCTGAGGGTGTGCGGAATGACGTAATCGCATCGGATACACGCTGGCCACTTCCCGACTCGACCTTACCAGAAGCGCCCTGCATGCCATTTCTTCTGAAAAATCGGATGATGCTCAAGAAACTCGAGCTGGGTGTCTTCAGCCAGGATGCTGGAAACCTGTCACGTCGCACCGCGGCAGATGCAATCCGCACGCGCGTCCGAGTGACGCCAGGGCGCGGGGACACAAATTAGCCCGCATGCAGGAGGGGGGAAAGCGGGGAGGGCGGCCGCAGGGGGGAAGGGAAGGTGCGCGGGGCCCACTCACGCAGCGGAGCTGCGCTGCTGGAGGGGGCGCGGCCTGGCTGAGGTCCAAACTGGCAGCGGCTGCAGGGCGGCGCCGCAGCGCACCCAAGGCCAGCAGCCACAGTGCGGGCGTGACCCGGCAAGTGGAGAGGTGGGAGGCGGCGGCGGCTGGAGAACAGGTAGCCGGCGCGAAGGAATGAGGGCAGCGGCATGAAGCCAGCGGCACGGCCAGCCGGCGCTGCAGCAGCCGCAAGATGACCAAGGCGATGGAGGGTACGGCGGCTCCGCGGGGGGGGCGGCCAGCGTACTCCAGACGCGGGGCGGAGTGGAACAGAGGCGACATGAAACGAGCGCAACTCACTCACTAGCCGGTGCACGACATCGCGGCAGGAGTTGCGCGACGCCCAGTGCCAGTGGCGCACGGGCGGTGCCCTCTGAGCGAGAGAAAAAAAGCCCAGCCAACTGACCAGCATGGCGGCGTGGGCATCGCGGGGGCGAACCGCAGTGGCCGTGGCCCCCCTATGCGGGCAGCGACTGCGACTGGGGCAACACCACTGGTGGCGCAGGGGCTGCAGCGCCGACGCGCGCCCTTGCGGCGCGGTGCGCGGGAGGGGTTGGGCCGCCCCGGGCCGGTGCACGGCATCACGGCCTGGGACGGCGGCGGGTGTCGAGCCGCATGGCGGGGCCGACCAAAAGCGGGGGGGGGGGCGAGCAGCGCCGGCGGCGGCTGCAGCGGCAAAGCGGGAGGTGAACCGCAACGGCGGAGACCCCCAAGCGGGCAGCAGGAGGATGCTGGAAACACGGAGGGCTGCAATCACATGCGAAGCATACGGAGGCAAGTTGCCGGAAACACGTTCAGGGGACTGGCGCAACTTAGCCACACGAGAGACGACTTCTGGAGAGACATGCGGCCGTATGTGTATCCAGCTTTCGCCCAGGCTGGCCACGTCATGCGCATACATGTACGTATTCATCTTGCTGCTAAGAAACACCCAGGACAAATGCCCCGTGTTGCTGGGCTCCAGTATCCCAGAGGGCAGAATACGACGAGGACGGCGAGGCCACATCCCCACTGGGGCCCAAGGGACCGCAGACCCCGCCGAAAACACGAATCGATGACATAAGCGTAATCAAACAGGTCGTTTCGGCCTGGCCCCGCCTCATCCTCCCAACTACCTCCTTCGATCTTCTGTCCGTTTGTGAAGCACCTTGCCACACAATGAGGACGAGGACGACGTGAGGAGCAGGACGACGACGATGACGCAGGGGGAAGGGAGAGAGAGGAGGAGGAGCGAAGGGGATCAGGAAGAGGAGGAAGAAAAGGAAGGAAGAGGCAAGGAATACCAAAATCAGATTCTATGGTCAGCAGTCCCCTACGCTGCGCTTAGCTACCCCTAGAGCAAGTCCTTGCACATCCACAGCCTGGTCCACGCTCTATGACCGGCCCCCTCTCCCCGCCCGTCCGTCAAGCCCGTGATCACCAGGGATCTTACTTGAAGGAACCGCCGAGGCGATTCCAGATAGCAAAAGAAAGCCCTTCTTACCTGTTTCCAAAGTCCGACTTTTCAACCTGAGCAGTTTTTTGACGGTGCCATGGCCCAGGAAAGGGCCCCCGAAGGCCGAACATAATAGCAACCAAAGATGTCCTTGCGAAGGAATCAACCACTTGCAGCTGCGAGCACGGCGAGGCAAGTGAGCAGGACGGGTCGAGCAAAATGACGGAGTGGCGCGCACATCCTGGCGGGGAGGCACCCTGCGGACCCTGCCGCTGGGGCCTCTGGTGGAGCTCCCTACGGATCCACGAAGCATGTGAGGGGTATGCCAAAGTGTCCGCGGGTACGCCATGTGAGCCTTGCCACGAAGGCCACAAGCAGGGACCGACACCAGGGGGGGGAGGAAGCATCGAGCTGGAATCGGCGATACGTCGCCGATAGACCGGCGGTAGGCCCCCGATAGCGAGTCCGTAATTACGCTCCTGGGCGGGGTGGGCTATCAGGCCCCTATAGGCGATGGATGGGCGATTGGAGGTCGATGCATCCCCCCTTGAACCTAACATCCCCATCCCCTCACCGGGTCGTCCGCGCCGGGGCCTGGCACTGCTGCAGCTCGACCCTCACGCTGCTAAGGCGAGCCTCACCGACGCGCTCTTTCGCCCGGCCATCAGGATTGGGATGGGGGGCACGGGGAGAAGGGAGAAGGGAGAAGGGAGCGCGCCCGAGGTGCCGCCAGAGAGGGGCAAGCGACGACCCAAGAGATCCGCACGGACCCCCAAAATTGAACTGTTGTTCTTCCCCAATCAGGGCTTGCACTGAAGGGGTCCAGGCGGAGATTGAAAGACTTGGCGAAAGTGATGGGTCGATTTCGGTAGGCGGCCAGTTCCCGAGTTCCCAGGGGTTCCTGGGATCCCGGTTTCGGGTTCTGGGCCGATTTCGGTGGGCGTCGGGGTTCCCGGGTTCCCGGGTCCCTGGTCGATCTTCTTATCGATCAGTCTCACCATCGATCTCATTACCCACCTCTCTATCGATCTCACCATCGATCTCACAATCGATCTCACGATCGATCTCCCAAGCGATGTCATTACAGATCGCACGAGCGATCTTACAGTAGATCTCACGATCGATCTCATTAAATCGGCTTCACTCTCGACCTCAAGATCGACCTTGCAATCGTCCTCACTATACATTCCACTATCGATCTCACTATCGATGCCACAATCGATCTCAATATCAAGATTACTAATTTTCAAACCATCCACTGATTGGGGCTTCTTCTCTGGTGACACTCATGTTCCCTACCTAGGCTCTGCCTAGAAGGGTTCTTACTCTCTAGCTTAAAGGGGCCGGGCAGTGCTACACGCCCCGGGCGGTTCCCCCAGTCCCCGCCCCGCGGTTCCCCCAGTCGCGCCCCCTTAGCTTGGCTTAGCTTATCTCGTCTTAGCTTAGCTTGGCTTAGCTTAGCTTAGCTTGGCTTACCTGAGTTTAGCTTAGCTTAGCCTAGCTTAGCTTAGCCTAATGTAGCTTAGCTTAGCGTAGCATAGCATAGCATGGCATTGCATAGCACAGCATAGCATAGCACATTATTGCATAGCATAGCTTAGCATAGCTTAGCATAGCGCCCCCTTAGCTTGGCTTAGCTTATCTCGTCTTAGCTTAGCTTGGCTTAGCTTAGCTTAGCTTGGCTTACCTGAGCTTAGCTTAGCTTGGCTTACCTTAGCTTAGCTTAGCTGAGCTTAGCTTAGCCTAATGTAGCTTAGCTTAACGTAGCATAGCATAGCATGGCATAGCATAGCACAGCATAACATAGCACAATATTGCACAGCATAGCTTAGCATAGCTTAGCATAGCTTAGCATAGCTTAGCATAGCATATATTAATTAGCTTTAGCTTAGCTTTAGCTTAGCTGTAGCTTAGCGTTGTCTTAGCTGTAGCTTAGCTTTAGTTTAGATTTACCTTCGCTTTAGCTTAGAGCTAGCGAAGCTTTAGCTTAGCTTTACCTTAGCTTTAGCTTAGCTACATCGTATATATAGTTTAGCTTTAGCTTAACGCTCGTTTAGCTGTCGCTTAGCTTTATCTTAGCTGCAGCTTAGCTTTAGCTTAGATGTAGCTTAGTTTTAGCTCAGCTGTACCTTCGATTTATCTTAGCTGGACCTTAGCTTTAGCTTAGATTTAGCGTAGCTTTAGCTTAGTTTTAGCTTAGCGTTAGCTTATATTTAGCTCAGCTTTAGCTTAGCTTCAGCTTAGATTTAGCTAAGTGTTAGCTTAGCTTTAACTTAGCTTTAGCTTAGCTTTAGTTTAGCTTGAGCTTAACTTTAGTGTTACTACCAATGCTGCTTCCATGGGGGCTCCAACTCCTAGGTAGGGTCGCACTGGGATAAGTTTGATATCATCGGTTCTGAATCACAGAAATGCACTGGCGAAGAACCCAACCCTTTCTCAACGCGAGGCGACTAGAAACTGGACCGCTCAACGGACGAGAACACATTGAGCACGTAGTTTGCAACACCTTGGAACGCTGCGCCAAGGAACGCCAGAGCGCACCCAAAGTGCCCCGATCGAGCACAAAACCTCACGACCCGAAGAGCAAACTGAAGTCGACGGTAAACGCGCCACAGAGCAGGACGGACGCAGAGAGAGAGGCGGACGAGGGATCCTGGGAGGAAATAGCGTGCGAGAATCAGCGCCGCACGCTGCGTGTGCGTTACGGAACAACGCCGTGCGAAACGATGACAGAACCGCGCGATGCGCTGGGTCCCGCAGATGCCCGAGTGCCTTTCGGGCGTGCCGCGCCCCTGCGGCGTCATGCCAACATGTGGCCCCACGTGGGGCACCATCCGTGGCAAAGGTGTGCTGAGATGAGCGCGGCGGCGCCATGCGAGAACCTCCACTGGGAAATAGGTGGAGAACTATTGTGAGGCACAAACAGAACGTGTTGGGGGGGGGGGGGGGGGCAAACATAGGCGCGGCGGCGCCGTGCAATCACACATGCACTGGGGCCGCAGGCACAGCTCTCAAGAGAACAGGAGACCCATGGAGGGGCGTACCGCGCCGATAGGTCGGCGGCAGCAGTCCCCCGATAGCAGGTCCACACGGCCCCGGGTGGGGTGGGCTATCGGTGCCCTGTCGGCGATGAATGGGCGATGTGGGGTCGACGCGCCACCCCCCGAGGGCTGCCCACCAGGACACCCCAACCCAACCCCCGAGGTCGCCGTTGGGCCTGCCACGTTCCAGTGGGGGGGCGTTCTGGAACATCCAAAAGTACACAGTGGAGCCCGTACACCGCCCCATCCGAAAGTTGGGGAGGTCTGGAACCTCGGGGTTGGGCTGGGGTGGCTTGGCAAAAACGACCTGCACCCATCCCCTCCTACTGTTGCCCCAAAAGGGGGTACGGAAAAAATTGGCACGGTGCTGCCCAACAACAAATGATGTCCAACACCGACAGCGGCCGCTGTTGGGCAGGCCGCCGTCTGTCTCAAATGGACAACGTCCGCGGCGATGATGGCAGCGGGTCCGGATCAAACATGACCAGGAACTGCTGTGGGCCTTCGAACTCATTTGTTCCGTACCCATTATGATCATACTCCCCTCCGACCGTTGCGCCCTTGAACCCTTGCCTTCAGAAACTGACAACCAGGCCCCGGGCTCCCAGGAGGCGTCCCGAGCACGGGATAAAGCTCGACGGGAACCGCTGCGGTAATCCCACCAGCCCTCTGGGCGTAGGTGGTTTAGAAAGTTTCCTCTTCCATCTTCCCTCTTCCCCTTCGGGGAAGGGTTTACCCCTCCCCCTACCCCCTCCCCTGGAACTGGACGGGGGGGGGCGCGAGGGGTTAGTGTCCAAGATGGCCCAAGACGGCTCCAAGTGGGCCCCGGAGAGCCCAAGATGAGCTCCAAGATGGCTCAAGATAGCCCAAGATGCCTCAAGATGGCTCCCAAGATGCTCCAAGAGGCCCCAAGACTGCCCCAAGACGGCTCCAAGTGGCCTTGGAGCCTCCCAAGGAGGCCCCCCAAGAGGCCAAAATGGCTCCCAAACCGAAGAAAATCAAAGTGTGTTGTTTTCTCGCCTTTTCGCTTCCGATGGCCATTCGAGGCCCCAAGATGGCTCCAAGATGGCCCAAGAGGGCCCCAAGAGAGGCCCAAGATGGCCCCAAAACGGCCCCAAGAGCACCCAAGAGCGCCCCAAGAGCGCCTCAAAATGGGCCCAAGAAGCGACTTTTTGTGGCTCCCGAAGGGCGACGCTAATTGCGACCTTCCCCTTCTTTGATCGATCGTCTCCAAGATGGTTCCAAGAGGCGCCCAGGAGGCCCCAAGAGGCGCCAAGATGGCCCCAAGATGGTCCCAAGATGGTCCCATGAGGCCCCCAAAAGACCCCCAAGATGGCCCCAAGAGACCCCTCCACCCCCCTCCACCCCCCCCTTTTTCCACCCCCCCTCCACCACCCCACCCACCCCCTCCGGAGTCCCTGATGCACCCAAGACGCTCCAAGAGGCCTCTAGGACCGCCATGAGGCCCCCAAAACGTCCCAAGACGCGTCCAAGACGCTCCCAAGAGACACTTGGAAAGACTCCGAGAGGCATCCAAGAGGCCTCTGGCCATTCTGCTCGCCCTTTCCTTCATTTTCCTCCTTCTCACTCTCCTCATCCTCCTTTTCATCCGCCTATTCCTTTTTCTCCTTCCTCCCTCCTCCCCCTTCTCCTCCTCCTCCGATTCGTCTTCCATCCTCCCCCCGTTGGAGTAAGACGGGTCCCCAGCCCTTTGAGACTCTGTACGCCCCCTCACTTCCCTGATCACTTCAATTCCCCTGGGCATCATTTCTGGATGGGCTGGTGGGAATATGTTTTTGTTTTGTTCGGCGGCTCCAAGGAAAAGCCCAGGGAGCGGTCACAACGTCCGGGCCGCGGCGCATTGTAAATTGGCGATCCAGCCGTCACTGTCGACAGCAGACCGTTCCTGCGAGCGAGCTCGCGGTTGCACATGCTCAGTAGAAAGTGTACTGAATTCGCAAGCGACGCACGTAGGCGCAGAAGCGAACCAAGAGACGCAGCTACAAGTGCGAAGACAACTGAGAGTCGCCATGCCGGCGCCAACACTGAAAACCGGGCGAGGTGAGCGAGCAGAAACACGAGGCAGCACCCTGTACGGTGGTGGGGCCACGGCCTAACGCAACGTACTCACAAGCGCCACGGCTGGGTGGACCACGTGGGATGCCATCGGAAGGAGAACGCGGATGCTCCTCGGCGAAGGACCACCCGCGGCTGAAGCCAGCGTGCACACACAGTAACCGACACAAACAATGCGGCGAAATAACGGTGTGCAGCTGACGAACGCTGCGCAGACTGCTCTGCGAAAGGGGGGCGGCTGCAACAGCGGGAAGCTGATCACACACAGCAGGGACGCACCCAGGGCAAAGCCGAGCCAGGCGTAGCCCTGTGTATGGTTGACAACAGCGCCCAGTCGCTGCAACGGAGCCAGCGTGCTGCCTCGCCGAACGTGTCGCACGGGAGTGCAGAAAGCCTGGTGCCAGCGAGCTGATGTCCAGGGCTGCGGTGAGAACGACCGAGTGGCAGGCCCGACCAACCACGCTGGTGGGGATACGTTTTTTTTTATCTGCGGCTCAAAGAAGGACGACTCCAGAGAGC